AAAAAAAAAAAAATTATTTTATCAATTTCTTATCAGAATTAAAGTATGACAATTGATAATTTTTTTCAGGTGAAATTATTTATTAAAATTATTTTTTACCTTGATATTCAACTTGTACTATTCTAACTTGTTTTGTGCATCCGTAAACATCGATAACAGCATAAAGTGGACCTTCTGTAAAAGGAATATCTTTGGCAAAAGCCCCTTGATCCTCACCATTAACAATAAAATGTAATTCAGCAGTTTCACGCAAACCAACTTTCGGCATTGGAATGTAAACAATCCCTGAAAACGATTTAAAATTTTATAATTTGTTTGTAATGGAAATATTCAGAAAATTAATCAATAACCAACCTATTCTGCTTCCAACATCAGTGGGAAGGATTTTAACATTTAAATCTGATTTACAGGGTTGCAAAGAACTAAATGAAACAGATCCATGAGAGGTTTGCATCGTTCTGCTTCCTCTAGATGATCCATTACATTTATTTATTATTTGACAAGATTTGGAGATAGCATATATCCATGAGGATTTCATTGTGATTAAATCTGGCAAAGCATACTGTGGAAGACGTAAACCCGCCGATTGTGCTTCATACGGATTTAATTGAGTTAAACCAAGTCTTATATCTCCAGTCCATCCCCTTTCAGTTCTTTCTATTTCTAACAAAAATATTTCACCAGGTTTTAAAGGTCTTTCACTGAATGTCAATGCGTTAGCATAACTTGTTTTACGATGAGCAACTGTATTATTATCATATAAAATAATATTAGACCCGTGATATTTGTGAAACTTTGTGTTCATTATAACTAAATACACTAATATATAACGTTGAACTAAAACTAAATAATCTACAAGTCACATTATTATTATTATTTTAACATTAGTTTAAATAAAATTTAAATTTTTAAAAAAAAACATTAATATGTAAAGAATAAAAAAAAAATTTAATTTCATGAGAAAACAAAACAATAATAAATCTCAAACATAAATAAATTATAGAAAATAATGGTGATTTCAAACTACAAATAAATGGGTCAGCAATTTTGCGACAACTAAAGGTACGTCATTTTTGAATTTAACGGTTATTTTAAAAAGCGGTTTCTAATATTTCACGGTCATAAAAGAAAAATTTTATTAAGTATTATTAAAATATTACGTAAGATTTTTAAAAAATAAGTTTTAGAATGGAAAAAGAAATTGAAGAAATATCAAAAGACATATTAAAAGAAATTGTTCAAAATTTATTGGATTTTCATAATGACAATGGTCTATTTTGGATTTTGTTACTCAAACCAATAAATCATAAGTACAATTATTAATTTTTTTTTTTTTTTATAAATTTTCAGATTCGAATTTAAAAAAAAATAATGTAACAGATTGTGGGAATTTTATTTTTTCTAAAAATAAAAATGAAGAAGAAAAAAATATTATTGGTAATGAAAGTTTTCGAATGGTTACTTCTACGCCTAAAAAAACGACATCTGAACTTGTATGTGATTCGATATTTTTTGAAAAAGAATCTCGTTTTAATATTTCTAATTCGTCCATCTTAAATAAATCCGAAGAAAAAAACGAGTATTTAAATAAAACAATTGATGAAGCAATAGAAAAATACGAAAATGAAAATGATAATTATAAAGAAGCATTTGTGCAAACAAGCTTTGAAGAATTTTCAATTGATTGCTGCAAATGCAATTCAAAATATAATAATTATCAAAAAAATTTAATCCGAAATGATTCTCCTCCAGTGAAAAAACTTAAATTCGATAATATATTAAATAGTAGTAATAATTATTCAGAAAATTCTATTAATAACAACATTAGTGTAGAGGTTCCATCTACAGTTAGTAGATTTATTTTTAACGGTTGGTATACATTTGAAATTCCTTAAATTAAAATTAATATTAAAAAATAAGAAGAGATTGTGTATGTTTTAAACTATGAATAGTACTGGGGACCAAATTTTAAAAATACATTTTTTTTGGAATTATTCTTTATTGAATTAGAAATTTTTTTTTCAGGTATGAAAATTTGTGTGAAAGATGAACCTTCTTGTCCATCTGGTAATATTCCAAAAATTCGTATTGGTTTATCTAAACGTGTTAAACTAAAATAAAATTTAATAATAATAATAAATAAAGAATTAATTTCAAGTTTTAGGTTCTTATTTGATTATTATTTTGCATTATTTACATATAAAATTACTACTAAGGTATTTTTTAATATTTAACATGTGAAAAAAAAAAAAATTTAAGCAATAAAATTAAAAAAAAGTAACTTTTATATTATATTTAAATTTAAAGGTTCTTGTATGTAATATTTCTAGACTTATTAGTATTTTATTAAAATATTTTCTTTTAAATTTTCAAATTTAATATCAATATATAAGCATTTTTCTAGTTCCACGTTACATCTTTATTTTGTTGTCGACAGAATGAGTTAAAATTTTTACTCTCACATGTAAACGTAAGATACATTTCATTAAATTTTGTGCTATGAAAGTTTTTTTTTTTTTTTTTTTTTTTTTCAATTACTGATTTTATTAAAACATGACAAGCATAAATTTCGATGCAGTTTTGCTACCTGAAAACATTTCATTTGATATTTACAAAAAGTTAATTTTATTACTGAATGAAAATGATGAATGGAGAAAGGTAGCTGAATATTTTGGCGTTTTCAGGTAATTCAAATGGGATGACAGTTTTTAGAAATGTCTTTTAATTTTTATACGACGTAAATAAATTAAATTAAATTTTTGTTTCAGTGATAATGACATACAATATATATTAAAAAGTTTGGAGCCAGCTGAAAAATTAATTTTTGAATTGGGTTCCAGATTGTGCACTATTGAAATATTTTGCACTGCCTTAGAAAAATGTCAGCTATTCAACATATTGTTATTATTCAAAACATATTGTAAGAAAGTTAAATATTTATATTATAACAACATGAGTTGTGTAATAATATAATAATTCAAAAATTATTTTATTAGTACCAGTTTGTATAACAGAACAAAGTGCTCTGCCTGAAGATTGTAAACTTCAAATGGTTACAAGGGGAGAAAAATTTATTTTATTCGTAAAAGCAATCGGAATTCCTCCTCCTAAGTATCAATGGTTCTGCGATAATGTTGAACTAAAAGAAAAAAATGAATCAACTCTAGTTTTGGAAAATTTTGGGTAATTAAAAAAAAACTAATTGAATTAAGTACCTATCAGAACAAAACTACATTATTAGTAATGCCATATTATAACATCTCCAATTAAAATGACAATATTTGTAACCTCTTAGGCCTAATTCTGAAGGAGAATATTACTGTGTAGTAAATCAGGAAGGTTATGAGTCAATTGTATCTAATTCATTTAATTTAATATTAGCACCAGAAAGTCCTGTTATATTACTACAACCTAGTAAAGAAGAAATTTGTTCTGTGGGATCCTCAGTATCATTACTAGTTAAAGCTAAAGGTCATCCAAAAATTCAGTATCAATGGTATAAAGGAAATCAACAATTAAATGGTTGTAATAGCTCTGTTTTGAATGTAAGTTAAATGTAAAATTCGATTATGAAAAGCACTCGAGAAATTATCGACATTTTACAAATCTTTTTTTTAACATTTGTACATGAATTTTTATTTTTTCAATTGTTATTTTACATTTTAGATTGACATTACTGATTTAAGTCAAGAAGGAAAATATAGATGTTACATACATAATTCTGCTGGAGAAGTTTGGTCAAATGAAACGTTCATTAAAGTACATATTGCTGAATATTGTAGACCATCAGTTAAAATAGCTTTATTAATATCGAATCAGTTGTACAACAATTTAAGCCATTTATACAAGCCAGAAAATGATGTTAATACTTTGTCTTGTTTATTGAAAAATTTAGGATTTTTGGTAATTGCCTTACAAAATTTAAATTTAATCGAAATGAGAAATTCTATTTATATGTTTGCTAAATTGCTTCCTTCCGATGCTTATGGTATGTTTTTGGGGTGTCTACTCCCCAACATGAAAAAAAGAAATCAATCAAAAGTAAATTTGATTGAAAATGTATAAATTTAAAATAATTTTTTCAGTGATATTTTATTTTGCCGGTCACGGATTTGAAATTCAAGATAAATTTATGTTACCCATTGACATTCCTCCAGCAGAAGAGTATCTTAGGTCCGATGCCATTTGCGAAAGGGAATTATTGAAAGCTGTTTTATCGAAGAAACCCAAGGTAATATAAAATTTTTTAAAAATTAATTTGATTATTTTCACTCTGAGTTAATTTTTTTTTTTTTTTTTTTTTTTTTTTTTTAATTTTAAGCTTTTCCTCGAATTGCTTGACATGTGTTTAAAACCTCCAATATCGACAAAAAAAAAAATTTTTCAAGAAACATCAAATTTATACGAATACGAAGCGGATAATAATTTGATACAGGGTTATTCGACAACAAGTTATTTATGCCCATATGAAAAAAAAACAGTTGAAAATGGACTCTACGTTGAATGTTTAAAAAGATATTTAATGAAAGAAAAAAGTTTACCAATTGTTCAAATATTGCAAAAAGTTGCAAAAGGTAAAAATTAAAATTTTTTATAAATTATTATTACATTATCGTATAACATCATCATCATCACCATTCAAAAAAAAAATTTTTTATTATTATTTTCAGACGTGGTTTCCGTTTACATGATGCAAAAACCTTTTTTCGGTACAAACGTTATAATAGATTTTCGTTTCACGGATCCCTGTCATCCGAGCTCTGAAATACAAGAAAAATTTGACAAACTTTCATCGCTTCCAAAAAATTTATCCCTGAAATTCGATAAAATAAATATCGAATCCCAAGTCACATTTTCATTGTATTTAAACACTTTTTTCAACACGTTAGAAATAAGTTTAACGAATTTAAACGATTATAGAGTGACTTGTGAAGCTTTAGAGGAAAAAATTAGTTTTACATTAATCAGAAAAGAAGATGTAAGTTTTAGTTATTTTTATTCCGTACGCTCATTTTGAACGTTATTTAAAAATACTTTGATGATATATTAAAAACTAATCATGAATTTATTTATTTATTTTTATTTAAATAGATTTTAGTTATACACGTTAAAAACGTTCAAAGATTAATAAAAGATAAAAGTCTAACGTTACATTTGATGAAAAATGATGAAATCGTTGATACGGCTTTCATTGATGTTGGAAAACCTTTGATTGCCGTTGCGGATTTATGGAAAAAAGATGTTGGTAAATATACTATTTATTTATTTATTTACTTAATTTTTTTTTGGGATTTTAATTGGGAATGATGATGATGAATGAATGAATGAATGAATTTAGAATTAATTTACAATTAAGTTTGAATGAATTTCCTTAGATAAATAAATAAAAAAAAAAAAAAAAATATATAGTTTTTCACACTTAATTTTCTTTTTAGAATTTTAACGTCGGAAATTTAAAATGAAGAAAAGAAAATTTTATTTATTTTTTTTTTTTGGAAAAACAAAAAAAATTCGGCCATTTTGTTTTGAAGGAATCATTGGCGGTTTTTAAAAACTGATGATAATACATTTTAAGGTAAGTGAAAACATTTAATATTATTATTATTATTCATTTTAGCTTTAAAACCCGAGTCGAGAAAAGAAATTTTTTCCGGGAGAAAATTTTTTTTTATTTCCGGTATAATTTAAATTGATTACGCGAGTTTTATTATTATTATTATTATTTTATCGTTTTCTTTTGTGCGTGCCGAAAGTGTTGCAGGCACAACGGTTTGGTTTTTTCTGTTTTTTTGGTTGTTTCCGGAAAAGCCGGAAAAAAAAAATTATGGCGGATTTTTTTTGGTTGTTGTTGTTGTTCGTAATGAAACTAATTAACTTAAATCTCCTGCATTTTCTCCAAAAAAACAAAAAATCAAAATTGAGTGATTTAACCCGGGGGTGGGGGGTGCGAGGGGCGCTGGGGGGGGAAACTAATTTTTTATATAAACACCGAAGACAAATTAGGTTTTTCTTTAAATATTTATATAAAATGAACGAATAATTTTGTTTTTGAGGAAAATGGAAAAGTTTTTAAATTGTTTAAAAACTAATTCAAAAATAAATTTACACTTTTTTTATATTATATATTTAAATAAAAGATGGAGAGATAGATAGAAATGTTTGATGATGATGACTACGCGTTACCTACAACGTTAATTTATAATTTTTGTAAATTTTAAGTATAACATAATTATCGAATGAAAAAAAAAAAAAAAAAACTAAAATTTTAGTTTTAATATTTGTTGTTGTTGTTGTTAATTTTTATTTTTAAAATCTTGTAAATCATTAAGGTTGAAGGTGCAAATGAGAAATGAAAGCTGTCAAGCTTAAATAATTATTTTAATAATTAAATTGTTCACGTAGCAGAACATGATATCCAAAGAGGTAAATAATTTGGCTTTAATGCCTTTTCTTTTCTCTCTCTCTCTCTCTCTCTCTCTCTCTCTCTCTCTCTCTCTCTCTCTATCTCTCTTTGCTGTTAATTTTTTTTTTTTTTTTTTCATTTCATACACATATTTAATTACTTTGTGATGGTGGGGGTGGTGGCGCTGGCGGTGGTTTTTGTTATTGTGGAAAAGAAAAGAAAAGAAAAGAAAAAACGCTTTAACTTAATAGAATAATTAAAAAAACTTATTATTATTATTATTTTGTAGGGAAAAAAAAAAGAGTCCATTAAAAGGACTGGATATTTTCATTATTATTATTATTATTATTATTATTATTATGAAAATTTTAAGTAATTTTTTTATCCTTTTTTTTTTTTTTCATACAAAAAGAAAGTTAATGATAATGAAAAACGGTTATCAATAAAACACTGATAAGGCCCCAAATAAAATAAATAAATAAATTTTCCGGATGTTATTGATTTATTTATCGCGTTTAAAAAAAAAAAAATGATATCATTAGAGATAGTGGGGAGGGGTAGGGAGAGGGAAAAGGGGAAAGGGGGGGGGAAAGCCTCCCCTTGAATTTATTTGACGCAAAAATAATTTTTAATTGAACGCGTTTAAAAAGTAGGAAGGAGGGGGGTGAGAGAGAGAGGAAGAGAGGAAGAAAAATTAAATAAAATAAATAATATAATTTTTTTTTTGGAGTACGGTAATAATAATAATAATTATAAAACTCGTAAATTTTGAAATTTTCGAATAAGAATGAGTTTTTTTTTTTATTTTCTCTTTTCATTCACACGAAATTATAGTTTTATTTAAATGTGGAATTAAAAATTTGTTAACCATAAATTTACATTTTGGGTTACATAGAAAAGTCATCGTTTGGAACAATAATTTCATTCAAAATGAATTATTTCTTTTAAATTCGTTCGGTTAATTACATTTTCCCGAACAAAAAAAAAAAAAAAATTTTTTTCTATTATTTACGTTTTTACCATTATTATTATTATTATTATTATTATTATTCTTTTTATTTTTTTTTTTCTTCCCTCTATTATAAAGCGTATATCGTCGTCGCGTTTCGCTTATTCAATGACAAAAAATTAATTATTATTAGTATTGGTATTGGTTTTAATTAATA